TTTACAAAGGTCACTCCCAGGCATTTCAAACACAAACAATTTACATATGGTTGCAGCCATATGAAAATCAGTTAAATTAGTTTATCAACCAAACATAAGGATGCAACAATTGAAGTTGTTTAACTCAAGAATCAATTATAACTTTATTTTTTCTTTATAATGTTTATAATTAACATTTTTAAGAGATTATTTATCTATATCTTAAAGATGGGAATCTATCTATTAATAGCCATAGTACTCAAACCACTCAATGTAAACAAAAAGTATTGGTAACTAAGTTTAGTATTCAGTAGGTATTAGATGTAAATATGGATTCAAAAAAATAAATATGAATTCAAAAAATAGAGGGTTTTAAAAGCTTAAGCATTTTTTAAAAATAAAAGTTAAAAAAAAAATGACAATAACCATGATAATTAAAAAGAAAATTGTTTTAAAGAGTTTTAGGGAGTAACAAATTTTTTAAAAATTTAAGATAAATAAAATGCACAAACCAAAACAAATTTGAAAATTTCTGGAAAATGATAAAAAAGATAAAAATTTTGTTTCATCAATAGACAATGATAGTTGTAAAGTGAAAGAAAAAACAATGAAACTTTAGTGTTATAAAATAAATTGAACACTATTCATTTTTGATTTTTATTTATGAAGGATCAAGTAACAAAGAAGCTAAAAATTAAGGTCCAAGCTCTATTCGAAGTTTAGTTATTTTAAAAATGCTAAGTAGAAATGAGATTCCAGTTAACAAGTCATTTATAAGGTCATATATATATATATATAAGCTTTGAGGAACCCTTACCATCATCCTCTCAAATTGTAAGTTCTGAAATTACAACAAAAAGAGAAAGGAAAAACTTTATCACATTTTAAACATAAAGGATTCTGTCTATATACTTCAGGCTGTAGTAGAACTAGATCTGAGTTGTGATGATTTCTGGATAAACAAATCATCTATTCAATGCATTCGCACAAAAAGTGAAAAAGATCGAGTGGAATTTATAAAATCAGTTTTTAAAAACAATATGCCTAAAATAATGACCATTCTCTGGGATAGGAAATTATTACCCGGAATGGGCGTAAGAAGTTCTAAAGAAGAAAGTCTGGCAATTCTAATTTCATTTGAAGTTAAAGAACAACTGCTTGTAGTACCCAAACTGGAGAGATCTTCTGACCAAGATCAAGCTGAAGCTGTGTTAAACGCACTTTATGACTAGAACCTTGATGACAAAGTACAAATAATGTACTGTGACACAAGGAATGCCATGCAATTGAGCGCTATTGCTGACCTTGCAAATGATTTTATTTTTTGATAACTTGACCATGATTATATGTTTTGATGATTTAAACATTTCAGAAATGCACCGAATGTAGAAACGCTAAGCTAAACTTAAACTAGGAAATAAGTAAAAAAAAAAACGAAAAAAAACATAAAAAAAAAATTCCTCAGAAAAAAGAAAATATATAAATAAAACATTTTATTAAAGTTACGCAAAATGCTTTTAAATTAAGTAACAAATCACTACTAAAGATCGTTAAATAAATGAACAAATTTTATCAAATTTATTAAAAAGTGTTGTATATAATATTTTTAAATTTATTTTTTTTAAAAAGTTAAATTTTTTTTTTTTTTTAAACAACGCAGTCTTTTTAAAATAGTAATTTTTAATAATTTCATGCTCTAATTAATGTCTAGTTAGAAAAAAGACTTCTAACTCTTTTATTCGTAAAAATAGGAAAAAAAATAAATAAAATTTGCCTGCAGTTTAAATAAAATAAACTGCCAACAAGCAATTTAATTTAATTTTAATTTGAGCGTTACAACTTTATTTATAAGCGCTTGAAGTAAAGAATTTAAAAATTTATAAGGTTTAAACTCATTCATTCCTATTGTAATTAAAAATAAAATGTTTGTTTAAATGATTTTTTAAATGTTTGTTTAAATGATTTTAAAAAACGTTAGTTTAATTACAAAAATTAATCACATGAACATTACAAAATGCTTTAAAACTTTTTGATTAATCAACAAAATACTTATATAAGTAAATAAGTTTACTTATATAAATGCTTATATAAGTAAATGAAGTTATTTTATATTCTTGTATAATTCACATAAAATGTGTAAAAGTTAGTAGTCACAAAAGGTTTTGAACTTATTCATAAATTAAAGTAATTTAAAAAAAAATCTTTCTAATAATAATAGTTTAAAAGATTTTTAGGAAGACATGGAAAAATAGTTTCAAACGTTTAAATTTATCATAAAAAATACATGCCTACATAAAAAAAAATTATATATGACACTTTTTATTAATTTAAACATGTGATTATGTAAACAATCATTAAAATTAATTTTTATGGATTTATTTAAAGCCTTTGCATAAAATTAAAACTTTTGAAAAGAATTGTTAAAACATCAAAATAGCAGTGGTCAAATTTGTAAAAAAATATATATATATTACCGTGGTCAGTTACAGAGTGCGATCGCACACCATTCCTGTCCAAGCCTGTTAAAAGGAGCTTGTATGTATTTTTAGAACAAAAACTAGACAAGGAACTACTACATTTTTCTTGCCGCCATAATGTTTACGAACTAGTTTTAAAATGTGTGTTTGAAAAGAAAATCCACCAAGTCACAAGTAGCCCTGATATCCCAATGTTCAAAAATATTAGAGAAAACTGGAAAACTGTCAATCTGGCTACTATTAAAACATACACCATTAGAGTCAAACAACATTTTAGTAATACAACATTTAAAGAATTGTTGACTATTTAGAACTGCAAAAAACTATTGTATATGATGATTATTGAGAACTAATTCAACTATCTATTATTTTCTAAGAAGGTTAAGATGAGAAAAAAATTAATATCATACCTCCTAGAGCAATGTATCAAGCTAGGTGGATGGCTAGAGCTATTTACTCTTTAAAGATATATTAAGTTGTCCCTTATATACATATATATATATATAAACTTCTCAGAATTAGGGTTGGCATTTGGCAATGTCGACCTAAAAGTGTTTTAGATTGACAGAAAAATGTCAAATGTCAGAAAAATGTTATGGTAACTAAAACATAGAAACGTTGTTGGGTTGTTGCAAATGTTGTTGGTTAAGGATTAGTCAAAAACATTTCAAAAAATATTATTTGGAAACACATAATATACTGTATATTCATGCCAATTTGTTATTCCAAAAATTAATGATATAAGACACAACCAACCATACAAATATATTCCATGATAATTGGTCATCAATCGTAATGGAATATATTTATATTTGTATTCAATCGCTTGCTAAATAAAAAATAAAACCAAGGATTTTTTCTTTAAAGAATTTTGTTCTACTGTAAATGGTAACATTTATAATTAAGTTCTACTTATATATATATATATAATATATATATATATATATATATATATATATATATATATATATATATATATATATATATATATATATATATATATATATATATATATATATATATATATAATGCAAATTTAATCTGCCGTAATCAATAGTTCTAAAATACTGTTTGCTGTTGAACAACAGAACACAGTAGGACAAAATAGTGTTTTGCATGTCAATTTTTTTTTCTATTAGGTTTGCTATATCTAAGATATAAAATGCATGAATAAAGTAGTAAATATAAAATGCTTTGAAATCTTTTAAAACAATTGTCAAATTTATGTGTCAATAACTGCATAAAATAATGTTTTATTTAATATTGTAAAATTCTATATCTAAATGAGACAAATTCAGTTATAGAATATAATAAAACACGCTGTTTACCTTAAGTGTAGTACCTCATAAAAAGTGTTTACCTCATGAAAAAGTGTAGTAAAATCTCTAAAAGTTTTTAAGATAAACAATTAACAAATCATTAATCATCTTTCTCTCATTACTTTATTTGTGTTAATTTTGAATAATCCTTATACTTCTTAGATCAATAAAAACTGAGGTGATACATTTGAAATAGGCGATACATTTATCCAATTATGGTATTGCAAACTAGTATTTAGTTTTAGCATAATAAACATTCAATTTTATCATATTTTCAATAAAATAAAATTCAATGTTTATTATATTGGTTTCACAAAATTTAAACATCTTATCTACATTTAAAATCTGTCCAGTTCTTTTTAAACTTGTTTTACTGTAATAGCAATGCAATCAAAAGCAGACTTTCGATGGCTTATAACAAAGAAAACCCATTCAGTGTCAGTATAATATAAAATAGTCTTTTATATGATGGCAAAAATTAGTAAGGTTTTTGATTTTTTTATATTATAAATGCTCCAAAATAACATTTTAAAACACTTGCCAAACTTATGTGTCAATAACTGCATAAAATAAGTATTTAATTGATATTTAATGTTTATTTATTTAGATTTTTTTTTCTGTGGTTATTAAGGCACCCCAAGATGTCCTTACAGCCTCATCACAAAACACCGCGGAAAAGCATTTAAAAAGAAAGTTCATGCTTCCATACTGATGCCACTCATCGGGCTAAAGCCGGCATCAAACCCCGGACCAATCGGTTTCAAGCCAGAACTCTAACTACCGTGTCACGGCTGCACAAATTAAAAGTCAAATTAAAAATTAAAATTAAAATAATACTACTGTGCTTATGACTTACAAATTTTATTATTAGATCTTAATTATTGTTTATTAAAATTGAGTTGTTAAGATGAAAATGAAGTTCCTTTAAAAAGAAGGAAAAAAGGAGAAATTACTGTAGATACTTATAAAATAAATGTAATTAAATAGGCTAAGGTGAGAGGAAAAGAAAATATAAAATGGAAATTCAATATCAGCCAAGAAACCCAGGTGGAAATATTTACCAAGCTACAGAATGTGGAAACCAAATTCAACTTACAATCACTAGTAATTATTTAAAAAAGAAAGCCTATTAATTAAAAAACTATTTTTATTACAAAAAACTGACCAACATATATCATAAACAAAATATCATATTATTAATAACAATAAAATATATAAATATTACCTTTGCTGCGTACTTCTTGACATAATCAATGAATCACTAAACCAAAATAAAATTTTTAATAATGAAGATATCAACACTAACCTAAATAAAATTTTTAATAATGAAAATATCAACACTCATTAAAATAAAAGTTTTAATATCATTATTAAAACTTTATCGATATCGAGATAATGAGTCCTAACATTTTTTTCTAGTACCTTTGTGAAAAATCTTTCAATATTTGAGTTGTTTAGTTATGAGATTATATAAAAAATCACTACATGCTTACTAAGTGGACCTCTTTCCTTATTGCCAGCAAGTAGTGATTGGTATATATATTCTGGAGCTACATATATTCCAAACATAAAAGATCTAGAACTATTGATCCTAGATCTTCTTAAGATCTAGAACTATTGTTTCTTATTAGATTATGAGTTTTGTGGTGCAAAAAAAAAAAAAAGCGCAACTCTAACTTTTTTTTTTTTTTTTATTGTATTTTATAAAATTTAAACAAACTCAAGGAGTATTCATGATTTCACAATTTAATAAATTACTCTATTATTTATTATTATAACAATTAATTTTGATGTATAAATTTTAAACAAAAGTATATCAAATTCAAATTCATCAATGCCATTATTCTACTAAAGTTTATTTTTTATGTGATAATAGTTTAATAGCAAATGAGAAATTTGTCAGCTGGAGGGGATCACATACCAAAGATCTAAACAACTTACCAAAGTCTTGGTAGAGGTTTATCATTGAAGCTTCCATTTTCTTCTTCTTCAGAACCCTCTTCAGTCACAGTTTCTTGATAAAAACGTTTTTCAACAGGATGTAACGGCTTAATAAATAAATAATATTAGTAATATTGTTGAGGATATAAATAAAAATAATAAAATTAGAAAAATTTATACTATTTAATAAAAAGATAGAAAAAAAAAATGTGTAAAAAATGTCATGACATGAATTAATAGTAAATTTATTTTTTTGAAATGACAGCACTGCATTTCCTATTTGCAGCTTTCAAAATCTAATTAATTCAGCATTTTGCAAATCATCATATTAAGTGAAGCTGTATTATAACCCCATACTTGGCAAAAACTTAGGTAACTCACTTAAGTGAGCACAAATTATCCAAGGTAATTAAACAAAACTATGGAACATTTGTATATTAAATTTTCTTTGTACTCAGTAGTATTGTCAATTGAAAACTTTTCAATTAACTTAATTAAAGTATCTTGGTTGCCTAAAAATAAAAAAACAGAAAGCAAAAGGTCTCTTTGAACTTTATTTAATTACGTTTTTAATTACAATAAACTGTAAATGAAAAATTGTTTGCACTTAAAATGCTGCAAAATCATAGTAAAATTTTTTTGACTTTGACTTTAAACAAACAATGGTGGTAATAGAAATAATGAATCAACTAAAAGCTAAAGCTGGAACTATCTCAAAAAATTTTTCACTTTGTTATGGTTAATTGATAGTGTAAGATCTACTCACAAAAGTTACAACTAATTGCCAAAAATTGCAAGGCAAAAAAATAGTAATTTGCATTTTTTATTGAAAAATTTTTTATTGATGGAATTTACTTCAAATAACTGATTTTTTAATCTAAAAACTGATGATGATGGAATTTACTTCAAATAACTGATTTTTTAATCTAAAAACTGTTGACGCCAAATAACACTTTAAAAACTGTTAATGTCAAAAATAAAGAGAATGTCAGAAATTTTGCACTTATTGTTTTTGAGCTGCACTCTACAACTATATAACTGCACTTTATAAATTAATGTCTTGTTTTGATAAAGTTCTGTAACTATATAACTTTATAAATTTATGTTGTGTTTTGATAAAGTTTTGCAATTGTACCCTCCTGCAAATCCAGACATTTTATAAAGAATACAATTTATTAAAAGAAATCATTAATGATACAGGAACATATGAAATATTAATGCAATAAATACAAAGATTATTATTATATTTAAAGATTGATATTATATTCATAGAATATATTTTATTTTATAGTTAAAGAAATGACATTAAATATTACATCATCATTGCTAAAAATAATTTGGATAATTTTTGTTGGTAAAAACAACTGTTATTTATGTAACATATATTAGAAAGATAAATTGACTTTCTGATAGAAAGTTTAAGAAAAAAAAAATTAGCAGGGCTAAAGAACACACATTGACTAATGATTTTTTTTTATTTTTTTTTGCTATATTAGATCATTTATACATAAGTACTACCTTCCCACATTTTAACCCATTAGTTAAAGTGTGGGATGGAAGTACCTATGTATGAATAAAACATAAATATGTATAAATAAAATTTGGCCTTGCTATACTAAAACCACTATTTCTATATTATGACACAACTAAACTCAAAATAGTTTATATACTTGCATATAGATAGTATTAATCAAGCCTTCTCAAGAGAGGGGTATAATAATTTGTAAAATATTATAATAATTTTAAATTTGTGCATTTAAAAAATGTACTAGATAAATAAATATAAACTTAAACTAAAAATAAACAAGCGATACACTGAAAAGAGAAATAAAAATTAAAATTATAACGAATGATAAAATAAAAGATATACTAAAAAAAATAAAAATATAAAATCAGTGCCATCCCTAGGAGGAGGAGGAGGTGGGTTTAAGGGGTATCTTCATCACCCCCTCCTTTTAATATCTCTTAGGGACAGCCTGCATAAATCTAACATATATCTTTATTTAAGTGTTTCATTTCATGGAATTTAGAAAAGATTAAAGTTTTAAATTTATTTAATCTAAGCTTAATTACTTAATTATTCAAAAATTTGATATTTTCTAATTTCTAGTAAACAAATAAGCCATTAAAAAAAATTATTCATAATAACACTAAACTATCAGTCGCACTTATTTAAAAAAAAAAAGATAAAAAAAACATATTTTTATAACCATATCACCAGCTCCACATAGAAAAACAATATTACCAATCTACATGTTTAAGAGTAAGCAGTATGAAAATAAAAATAATCTATATTAATAAAATACTCAATTTTAAAGTATTAAAATGATACCACTTGTTCATTTTGCACTTTAACAAGTAACTCTTCTTTTCCTCGTAAATACATAGAAAAGTATCTAAAACCCTTTACAAAAAAATAATAATTAAAAGAACATTAATACCCATATATATATATATATATATATATATATATATATATATATATATATATATATATATATATATATATATATATATATATATATATATATATATCCTTATAGTGAAGTCGAAAGTGACTTTTATGGTTAAAAAAGTCTCTTTTGACTACAATTTTTTTACCTTGTCTTTTAAGCTGCATTTAATTGTCATCAAAATGTCAAAGCAATTAAATTAATGCGGATTATATTAAAATAATGCGGATTAATGCACATTAAATTTTATTGTTTTTTAAAAAACCGCATTAATAATGACTAGAAAGTTTTTTTTAATTAGTGGTGTTTTTGTTTTTGTTTTATTAAAAAACATTTTTAAAACATGCGTAAGTGTTGCTACATCGACTATCTTATAGCCTGACTCGCAACGGAGTGCTGCTACATCGACTGACAAATAGCCTGATTCGCAAGGGAGTGCTGCTACATCGACTGAGGGTTTGGTATATATATATATATATACATATATATATATATATATGCATATATATATATATATATATATATATATATATATATATATATATATATATATACGTAAGTGTATATATATGAATAAAGAAAAGATCTTTATATTATCATGTATAATATTGTATACTTAAAACAGTGCTCAATAGATAAACTAGAGCTATATAGTGTATATGTTACTGTTACCCACAGTACCAGGAATGTTAATGTTTATAATATAATTTAATATTGCAAGTCTGAGTTTTGTGTGTTACCACAATCATCAGGCAAGTAGGATAAAAGTAGCAAATTTAAACTTTTACTACTTACCTGATGATTGTGGTAACACATGAAACTCAGAGTTGCAATATTAAATTATATTATAAACATTAACAAATTAGCTAACTCCTGGTACTTTGGGTAGAGTTGCAAAAAAAAACTCATTTTTTTCCTTTGGACTTTTTTTCGGTCGAAAAAAAGTGTTTTTTTTTCGTTAATTTTTTGTTTTTTTTTGGTTTTGTTGGTGTTCTATTGCTCTTTTTACAATTTTTTAGTTTTTTTTTGGCATAAATTTTGGAATAGTTTTCCTTTATTCTAGTATAATTTTAGTATTTGGCCATTAAAGGTACAATTAGATCTATAAACACCAATTTAACATAAATTTTTTATAAAAAATTTAAATTAGCTTTAAGTTATTTATATATCTAGGCATACTGTATGAAAATACTTATATTTTGCTTTGCTGTTATACTTATTATACTAATAACTGTGATACTCTCATTATATACAGAAACTAATTTTATCCTATAAAAGTTACCATTTTAATTTTGACAATGTAAATATATTAATATTAATACCATTCAAATTCACTTATTAAAATCAGAGGTGTAAATAAATGGGTGACTAAGGTTTTATTTCTGCCCCCTGTATGGAGAGCCTAATCATAATTCTTTTAGATCTTCTTGTTGATTACCAACAAGAAGAACAAAAAAAATTAAAGAAATAATTTAAAGATATTCTTTCTTTTTATATATATAAATACATACATATATGATATATATATATTTATATATATATATATATGTATATATATATATATATATATATATATATATATATATATATATATTATATATATATATATATATATAATATATATATATATACATATTATATATATACATACATATATATATGATATATATACAGAGTGTTAACCAGGAATAAATTTGATACAGCGTTTTAACGAAATTGGGAAATTGTCAATTTCTCATTCACCCCCCCCCCCCTCCCCTGATATTAAAATGTGTTGTGGGAAAGCATGGGGTCCTTTTTGGTGTTCTTTATTTCTTTTTGCTCCAAAAATAAAATAAAATACCATCTGTATCATTAAAGATGAATATGAAATCAACACAAAATTAGCTGTTGTTACATGACGACACAGCAAACTAAGAACCGAATTCCGAACATATATTAGGAACATATATTTTTTTTTTATTATAAAATAATAAGTGTATATTAATTATTATTGAGAATAATTAATTTGATTTATTTTTAATCTTTATATATTGTCGCCGCTTACATTTCAAGAGTATTATTTTGAATATATAAATTTCTTTTTCAATGTAATATAGTAAAATAGCGATCTCCAATGAGCCAATGATCTTCTACTTCTAATTGTTGTTTAAATTCTGCTCGACGTACTTTACGGACGAACCCTTACATCATCATGTAATAAATTGTGTTATCAAAAGAAATTTTTTGAAAATAGATAAGGTTTTAAAAATAGTAAACACAAGCTCATAAATTTCATACTTCACATTTATTGCGAGTTCAATTTATAATTAATAATAATTTATTTTATACATAAATCACATAGCGAAAAAAAGTTATAATCACAAAGTCTTAGCAAAAACTAAAAGACTTTCCGTAATAATATATAATTGATCAAAAGGTATCTGACATAACCTTTTCGATGTTTTTGTTGATGAAATACATGTACAACTTGAAGTTGAGTTTATGGTAAGACTTAATAAGTTATTTAAGTTTTTAGCCAAAAAGGGCAAAACTTTTAAAGAAATAGCATTTGCGGATGTTAAACCAAACAAGTTTGTTATTATTTTGGATCTTTTAGATTAGTACTTTATTTCTTGCTAACTTTTTTATATAATATTTGCTGTTGTTGGAATGCATTGCAAAAAACTATTTTCAAACTTTATTGCAAGTTACCACAAAAATCCCAAAAATCGCTTCAAAAATCCCAATTCTCATGATGTTTTTTCCAAGAAACCAATTTTCGCAGTTATGCAATTGCGTTTTTTTACCAATAATGGCGATTTGATTTCATGTTTTACGCAATTAATGAATTAGAATTTTTTAATGTTATTTTTCTATTAGTTTTGAATAATAATTAATTTTAAATTATTTTTAGAAATATTATTAAACTTTAATTTGGAAACTTTATATGGAGAATGGGATTTTTTCACCTTTATTGGGAATTTTAATTTAATGAGCATTTGGTAGTCCTGCGTTTGACGGGGCGCCACAGGGCTAGTTTACACCCTGATATATATATATATATATATGTATATATATATATATATATATATATATATATATATATATATATATATATATATATATATATATATATATATATTAGGGTGTCCCAAAAAAAACATTTTTGAAAATAATTTGCTCTCACCCCCTAAATGTGTTCTATCTAATACAAAAACACTAGGTTTAAATTTTTTTTGAATAAAAAATATTTTAAGGGGTCCCTCAAGACCCTTGAATATTTAATGGGTCCCTGATATTTTCGAAAAAAAAAGTTTTTCAAAAATATGTCAACCTGGTACTCAAATGAAGTGAAATTATATAAATATTTCAAAAATAATATTCATTTCGAAATATATTTAACTTATTTATCAAAATTATCTTAAAAAAACATAAGAAATCCATTTTTTTCATTTTTTCTTAAAAAACGCAATTTTTTATGTAATAAAACCAAAAATAACAATTTTGTTTCGAAATGAATATTATTTTTAAAATTTTTATTTAATTTCGCTTCATTTGAGTACCAGGTTGACATGTTTTTGAAAAACTTTTTTTTCGAAAATATTAGGGAACCATTAAATATTCGAGGGTCTTGAGGGACCCCTTAAAATATTTTTTATTCAAAAAAAATTTAAACCTAGTGTTTTTGCATTAGATAGAACACATTTAGGGGGTGAGAGCAGATTTTTTTCAAAAATGTTGCTTTTTGGGACACCCTAATATATATATATATATATATATATATATATATATATATATATATATATATATATATATATATATATATACATATATATATATATATATATATATACATATATATATACATATATATATATATATATATATATACATATATATATACATACATATATATATATATATATATATATATATATATATATATATATATATATATATATATATATATATATATATATATATATATGTATGTATATATATATATATATATATATATATACATATATATATATATATATATATATATGTATATATATATATATATATAAATATATATATATATATATATATATATATATATATAATATATATATATATATATATATATATATATATATATATATATATATATATATATATATATATATATGATGTATGTATATATCAGGCTTGGTCGGGAAGCGGGAGCGATCGCTCTCGAATACTGACCACGGAAATTATATTTAGTTGCGTAAAACTGGCCAGGTTTTTTAGTCGTTTTGAGAACATTTAAGTTTATGTACGAAACAAAAAATTTTTGTTTTACGGACATACATGGAAACATAAAAAACTTGAATGTTCTCAAAACATCGTTGTGCGAAAGAATAAAAAGAATATTTGCAAACACTAAAAACCCGCCAAATTAACAAACAAACTAATTCTATTGGTTCAAAAAATACGCTGTTTAAGCGAAATAAAGTTCTAGAGTATTCTGTTAAAATGTTTTAAAATATTGTATTATACACGATTTGTTACGTTTTGAGATTTCTAGCATTGTTTTAAGAATATATATTATTTGTTTACGAAAATAAATGTTTTAAATATAATTGATTAAATTGTTAAAATTTTAAAAGTTTATTATAAATCATAGATTTTATTAGTTTATTCTTATTTTTTATTTTAAAAGAGATTGTATTCTTTATGTAAATGTAATTTTGTGTATTTGTTTTTTATCGTAATGTATCTTTTAAAGCAATTTTTATGATTTAAACAAAGACTTACAAAAATAATTGCGTTTTCAATGAAGTTATAATCGTTAAAGTTAATAAAACTAATTATGTAACAAACATATAAGTAGTTTCTGGTTACTAAACACAAAAAACGCATACAAAGTAACTCGCGGACGAACAAGCATCGCGCCTGAGGTCACGACAGAACACAAATATATATAGCAAATAATTAGATATAA